ACACACACACACACGCAAGACGGTTTGTGGAACCCTGAAATGGGAGGAAAGGAGGCCATAGTCACTGCTTAGAGACCCCACCAAAACACACATACATACACACACACACACACACAGTTGCATCCAGGGATCCAGCCCACCGAGGCTGAGATGAGGAAAGAGCCCCCAAAGTTTTAGGATCCCAAAATGATTTCCATAATGTGATCTAGTTCATTCCACTCCCAGGACCCTGGGGCACAGAAGAGGCTGTGAGGGGGCTCCGGTGGGGCAAGTGCGGGCTCCTTCTCTACTGCGGATGTGTCAATGTCCAGAAAAAAGTCATCCAGACCAGAGTCCCCCAGGTACCGGGAGCTCAGAGCTTCTAAGAAGACTGGATCAGGCTGGGGCAGCCCTTCGTTCTGGGGTCCTGGGGGAGCCACTGGATTCTGAGGGGGCTCCGTCTCATCCATGGACGTCTCCAATTCCCTGAGAATAGAGCCGATGGTGGCTGACAGGGAGAAGTCCTCCTCGCCCAGGAAGAGGGGCTCAGGGGGCAGAACAGGCGCTGGAGCCAGGCACAGGGCGGCCTGGAGCTGCTGCAGGGTATTGTGGATAAGGACGTGCCTGCGTAGGCTCGGCGCTCGGGGACCCAGGCTTCGCTGGACTTTGTCTAACGAGATTCGAAGCAGGGCTTGCTGGTAGCTCCGCAGGCCTGCTGGACCCCAGTTCCACTTCTCATCCTCCTCTTCCTCCTCCAAATCTGTGTGTTTCCTCTTCAAGCCTCCTACCATGGTGCCCTGTAGAGAGGAGAGGGGCCAAGTCAGACGCAACGGGGCTAGTTCAAATCCCAAATCTATAAAATGGACATAATATGAATCCCACAGGGCTGGGGAGGAGAAAACAAGATCTGGACCGAAACATAGCTGGGTTCGCATCCCACTTACTTCCCTGTGTGGCCTTGAATAGTGAATTTGCCTCCTCGAGACACAATACTCATTTCTTCAAAAGTGTCACATATGACAGGTGTGGAGTACAGGGGCCTGGGCTGGAGGCAGGGCAACTTGGGTTTGAACTCTGCCTTTGACACTGCTCAGCTGTTTGATCTTTGTCAGTTATGCGACATTGCCTCTCTGGGGCTCAGTTTCCTCATCTGTAAAGTGAGGACTGTAAAATTTCTTACCATATTCTCAAGGAGATCCCACGTGTAAAATATGCATGGGGCCCATCTAGTTAACCTTAACGAGCAAGAATTTAATTGCCATTTATTCATTCAATATTTTTACCTACCGAATGCCTACTATATTCGAGCCACCTGGAGCCCTGTTAGGACACCTATTTGTAGAGACTCTTCTTTCACAGGGATGATTATTTTTCTTCTTTTTTCAGATTTTCTTAAAATTTATTTGAGAGAGAGCACAAGTGGAGGGGAGGAGCACAGGGAGCGGGAGCAGCAGACTCCCCACTGAGTGCGGAGCTGTAAGTGGGGCTCCATCCCAGGACCCCGGGATCATGACCTGAGCCGAAGGCAGCCGCTTAACTGACTGAGCCACCCAGGCGCCCCAGGGAGTGTATCTTTTCATGCCCTCTTCCTAACGCACTGGAAGCACACCCAAGAGCTGGGAAAGAGCCTCCCTCCTTCTCTCTGCCGCTCCTTCGGCTTCCCCAAAGCGTGCCCCATGAGAAAAGTCGCTAAAACTCGACTCCTGCCAGGCTCCGCCCCCTCCGTGGATCTCCATGCAGCATCCAGGCCGCAACAACTTAGCCCAGGGGCTTCTGGGAAATGTGGGCCAATAGCCGCCCGCGACGTGCCCTAACATTGAGCATGCACTACAATCCCCAGAGGGCTCCGCACGCCAGAGGGAGCAACCTCCCCCGCCCTCCCTCAGGGCATGCGCATAGGGACCGGGGCCGGTGGGGGAAGGGAACCCGGACTTCCAGCTGCCCGGCGCCTGCCGAGCCCCGCCCTCCGCTGCCTCCAGGGCGGCGGGTCTGAGCTCCACGCCTGGGACGCCCCTCCCCCACCCCAGACTGCGGCCCTAAAACTGCTTTCTCCCGGTCCTTCGGACCCCAAGAAGGCCCTAGATTCTTCCCCAAAACTGCTGTCGGGTCCAGAGACTCAGGCCCCAACACATGGCTCAAAAACTACAAATGCTCTCCGATCTACTCCGTTCGGGATAGTGATTTTGATGCCCTCAACCCGTCAACTTTCCCCTATTCTCCCGTCTTTCAAACGCCGTTCGACTTCACCTCCCAACTCTCCCTCTGACTCCAAGACCTGAACATGGGACTCTCCCCAGCACCTCCTCTCCTCCACTGCGTCTCCCTCACCAAGATTCCTTGCACGTAGTTTTCTCGCTTTTCCAAATGCCCGGGATCCCAGCCCCAAGCCCTCACACCTTTTCCAGAGCACTGGAGCCCCGAATTCAACCCGCTCGGGAGACGCGAATTGTCCCAATCTTTAGATTTCCTGCCCCAGAAGTTGCTTCCTTGGTTCTCTCGCTTCTCCAAACACCCCATGTCCCAGCTTCAAACTCTGTCCACTTGAAGATCCTGCCCCAACAACTTCGCCTTCAGTCCGGGATCTTGCATTCATTCTCCAGTCCCCAAACCCCACCAACCCTATCAGTCACCCTTATTTGCCCCCCCTACCCACGCCCAGACCCCGCCTCCACAACTCTCGGGGGGCGCGCCTCCACCTCCCCTAACCCAAGGCAAATCTCAAGCCGGGTGGCTTCTCTCTCTCTCTCACCTTAGCTGCCAGGTTCGCAATGACCAAGTCCTGAAACGTCCGCAGCTTTACGACCCCACACCAGGGCTGAGTAGGAACCTCGCTCACCTCCCCAGGGCCTCTCGGTTTGGCCTCCGGCCCACCTAGCTCCGCCCCGGAGCCGACGCGCGAGCATGATTGGCTGGAGTCCTGTCCGCCGCGGGGCGAGGATTGGCTGGGTGGAGCCACCGGTCCGTCGCCAGGAGACGCCGGACCCGCCCTCCCTTTCCTTACACCGGGGACCTTTTAAAGGATTCCGACTCGCCCGGGGGCGGGGCCACGTTTCGAGGGTGGAGGGTGGCGAGGACGTCAGAACCGTTTCCTTCAACTCAGCCACTGTCCTCGCTCCAAAATTGTCAGCATTGCTTTCTGCGATCCCTTTATACCAGGTGAGGACCCTGTAGCGGGAGGAGCTTGGCACGCCCCTCCCCACCCCGCTTTCCGGGCGGGTGGGGCTGAGCCCCTCGCGGAGGCCGCGCCCCCGGGGTTCCGAGGGCGGACGCTGCGGGGCGGAGGATGACGCAGCTGAAGACCTGCCAATGGTTCGGCGCGGCCTACGTTGCCTGGGCGATCGCAGCCGAGTTTCTGTCTTCCTGCCCCCAGACACTGTGCCCCGCGGCCTCTTCTTAATCCTCAGGATTTCTCTGCACGCCCTGTGGTGGTCTCTCCTGCACCCCACCCCCACCCCGGCGCCCTATCCTTCCTCTCAGGCAGGATGGCATCTCCACTGCCGGGAACTCGTTCCTCGGTCGCCAAGGCCCTGGGGACAAAGTCCCAGCTCCTCCCCTTTTGCCACAAAGCCCTTCACGGTCTGGCCTGATGCACAGTCCTCCTGGCTCCCTGTGATCCGGCCCCACTGGTTGACTTAGTTTTTCCAAAATGACTTCACGTGCCCGCCGCCACCATAAACGCTGAGATTTTTGTCTTGTCTTTTTCCTTGCCTTATCCCTAATGTTTTAGGTACTGTCCCAAGTACTCAAAAATGACAATAAAGGGCCTCTGGATCTTTAAACTTGTTTCCCCATCCTGAAATACACCTTCAGTTCCCAGGCTGCCTCTCGCCAGAACTCATCTCAAAACTTTCCTCCTCTCAGAAGCCCTCCCTTGTTGCTCCAGAGCGGGTGAGGCTCCATTCTGTGGTGTCCTGGGCTTCCCCCCCCCGTGATGGCCCTGACTCCTCTGCCCTTGCCTCCCAATCCTGGCCCTGTGCACTCGAGGTCGGGACTGTGGACCCTCGGAGGGCAGGTACCAACCAAGGCTATCTTGGTCATCCAGTGCTTGGTCCATAGCATCACCTACCACGTGGCTGGACACAAAGAAGGCACCCAGTGAAAAGTTTTGTAAATGCCCAATATGACAGAAAGAGGGCAGGAAAACAAAAACAACAGTGCTAGTGCCCTACCCCCACAAGTTTCACCAAGAGGAGTGGGGAGGCAGATATCTGCAGGCGACCCCTGGGAAGGGAGGTTAACGTTCTTCAGACCCGTTCTCGTTGGTTGGAACTTGCCACCAGTCATCCCTGCTTGCAGAAGCAATATAGGAATGGAATGGATTTTGGGGGGGAGGGGAGGGGAAAGTTAAAGGTGTTGGGTGGGTAGGTCGGGGAAGCTGGAAGTAGGAAGAGAGGAGGGGCTCACCCAGACCTGGGAAAGGTGTCTCTGGGGAACATGGGCAGGGGACAGTAGATTATCAAAGAGGGACATGATTAGGAAGGGACCATTTTTCCCCTTCCCCCTCCAGAACCTGTCCCTCTTACAGGGCCCCCATCTCAGACTGGCCCCACCATAACCCCATCTCCAGGTTCTAGCTCTACGCTTCTTCCTGGATGCCTCTCCCCACCGCCCCCCCATCATGGACTGTCCACTCCGCTCACACCCACTCTCTTGCCCCGCTTAAGGCCTCGGTCTTGGTACCCTGGGGCTCCAGGGCCTGCTCTTGCAGGCCTCTGATCCACATTCACCCAGCAGCCAAGGGCAGCTTCATAAAATACAAACCTGACTGTGCCCCCTCCCTGCCTCTCTCCTGCTCCGCTCCTTGCACAGAACCTCAGAATAAAGCTCAAGCTTTTCACAATGATTCTGCACGGTTTAGCTTCCATGTAACAGCCTCTTGGGGCTGATCACTTCTCCCCTCCGACTTGTTTGCTCCCCAAGCTGGGTCAGGTCGTTCTGTCAGCCCTCTGGGCTTCCTCCTTCAGAGCTACAGTCACTCCGCGTTGTCACTCTCACGGGCCGGGGTGTCTTCCTCGTTGGACTGTGAGATCTGCGAAGCCAAGGTCACCCCTTATAGTCCTCACAGTCCTCACCTGGTCTCTAGCACAGGGCCAGACAAGGACATGAATGAAAACCTTCCACAGAGGCAGAGAGAGACCCTGAACCACCCAGACAAAGCCAGACAGAGGAAGTCACAGAGTTGGGTCTTCTAGAATAATTTGAAGCTCTTGGCTCAAGATTTATTTACTCCTTTCCTCTGTTCTCCATTTCCCAGAATGCTGTCCTCCCGGACAGGGTCAGAGCCCTAGTCTCTAGTCGTACTGGTGGGAGGGGTAGGTGTTGTGGCCATCGTACTTATCGGTGGTAAGGCAGCTCAGCATGAAGTGGCCCAGGTCATGTTTGGAGATGACCCTGGAGGGCCCTCGTCCATCCAGGGTCACTGTGTAGGCCCCTGTCAGCGGCTGGTCTCCTGCAAGGTAAGGACACAGGGGATGGGTGAAGCCCATGTCCTTTCCCCTTCCCACAGCATGTGACCACTCCAGGGTGCTTACAGTGTGCCCAGCCCAGAGGGTATAAGAATCAATGATGTATGAAACCCTTACAAATGCAAAGGATGCCAATCTATACCCCTTACTTCATTCATTTGACAAATCCTTACTGATGGCCTATTAGGTGTCAGGTGCTGGGCACCCAACAAGGGACAAAACAGCCAAGAACCCCCTGCCCTTTGCAAGCAGACGTTCCCTGGGAGAAGGCAACAAATAAGAGAGTAAAATAGACAATATGTTATAGGGAGAGAAATAAAGCAGGGACTACGCTAGGAATGATTAAATAACTCAATGTTACCCATGGGCAAACTGAATCTGCAAGAAAGTCACTTCCCAGGGTTGCAAAGGGTGACTTCCCAGTGGCAAAGGCTGGATTTGCTCTGGGTCCTTCCGTCTGGAGGCATAACTTGGCCATTAGGAGGGCACCTGTTGGCTGCATTATGATAATTAAAAATCTCTGACAGTGATCAACTTAACTGAGGGATCGAATGCAGCCGACCGGTACAGGGGCAACCTGGAATAGTGTGCAGTAAGAAACATACACCCTCACCCAAGTGACATTCCTGCCAACAATGTTTCATCTGAGCCTGAGAGAAAACAAGCAGAGGGCGCCTGGGTGGCTCAGTTGGTTAAGCGACTGCCTCCGGCTCAGGTCATGATCCTGGAGTCCCGGGATCGAGTCCCGCATCGGGCTCCCTGCTCGGCAGGGAGTCTGCTTCTCCCTCTGACCCTCCCCCCTCTCATGTGCTCTCTTTCAAGTAAATAAATAAAATCTTTTAAAAAAAAAAAAAGAAAAGAAAACAAGCAGAGAAATCCAGAACATGAGACATGAGATATTCAGAAAGACACCTGGTTTGGTTAATTTTATGAGACATTTTAAAGAAGAGAGACGGAGGATTGTTCCAGATTCAAGGTGACATAGCAACTAAACACAGCCCATGATCCTTGGTCAGATCCTGATTTTGTAGGGAGGGGACATTGAAAAAAAATATATATATTTTTAAGGATTTTATTTTTAAGTAACCCAGTGTGGGGCTTGAACCCACAGCCCTGAGATCAAGAGTTGCAGCTCTTCCAACTGAGGCAGGCAGGCACCCCACTATTTCTTGACAATTAAAGAAATTTGAATATTGAATATGGAATAGACACTAAATGATGTGATCAAGTTAACATCCATTCCCTTGGCACATTAATGGTACACTGGGCCATTCCCAAAGATTTTTTTTTTTTAAATAATTTTTTTATGGTTATGTTAACCACCATACATTACATCATTAGTTTTTGATGCAGTGTTCCATGATTCATTGTTTGTGCATAACACCCAGTGCTCCACGGAGAATGTGCCCTCTTTAATACCCATCACCAAGCTAACCCATCCCCCCACCCCCCTCCCCTCTAGAACCCTCAGTTTGTTTTTCAGAGTCCATCATCTCTAATGGTTCGTCTCCCCCTCCGACTTACTCCCCTTCATTCTTCCCCTCCTGCTATCTTCTTCTTCTTCTTTTTTTTCTTAACATATATTGCATTATTTGTTTCAGAAGTACAGATCCGTGATTCCTCAGTCTTGTACAATTCACAGTGCTCGCCATAGCACATACCCTCCCCGATGTCTATCACCCAGCCACCCAATCCCTCCCACCCCCCACCACTCCAGCAACCCTCAGTTTGTTTCCTGAGATTAAGAATTCCTCATATCTTCCCAAAGATTTTTCTTCTTGGGAGACACCTATCAAGGTTCTAGGAATGGAGTGTGATGATGCCTGCACCTTACTTTCAAATGGTTCAGCCAGAAAAAAAATTAAAAAAAATATATATATACACACACACACAAAGTGAAATAAGTCAAGCAGAGAAAGTCAATTATCATATGGTTTCACTTATTTGTGGAACATAAGGAATAGCATGGAGGACATTAGGAGATGGAAGGGCAAAATGAAGGGGGGAAATAGAGGGGGAGATGAACCATGAGAGACTATGGACTCCAAGAAACAAACTGAGGGTTTTAGAGGGGAGGGGGGTTGGGGGATGGGTATTAAGTGATGGGTATTAAGGAAGGCACGTACTGCATGGAACACTGGTTACTATACGCAAGCAATGAATCATGGAACACTACATCAAAAACTAATGATGTACTGTATGGTGACTAACATAACATAATAAAAAATAACAATAAATATATATATACACACGCTATAAAATATATATATACTACACATGTATTCATATATACACATCAGAGGTATGCATGAAAGATAAAGCAAACGGCAAAATGTTAATTGAATCTAGATGAAGGGTTTATGGATATTCACAAAGCTT